TTTTTTTAACTCATACTGACCACTCGAAGTGTTTACCATACATTCACAAAACACTTTATTTTATGCACTTAAAGGACTTTACCTACCTCTTACCCATAGCCTATTCAGAATTCACAGATAATCTAATATGCATGTATTTTGACTATGGAAGGAAGTCTAAGTGCCCAGGGGAAAAGATGCAAACTCCACACAGGAAGGCTATAGCTCGGGTTCAAACAGTGCAGCTTTTAAAGGCACAAAACCTGCACAACACGCATTTTTGTAACAGATGAACACAGTACAATAGTATTTTGCACCTTTATGATCAGAACTACATGTATTTTAAGTAAGTAGTAAGTTAAAAATATTTTTAACTTATAGTTAAAAATATTTTTAACTTATAACACATTTTACTCCTGTGTATAAATACTGCCATCGCATCACCCCACGAGGATTATCAGTGAATTACATTAAAATAAATAAATAAAACAATGCACGATTCCGCGGTACATTTAGTCACATGGTTTTGACAAATTTAATGCATAGGAAAAAACAAAAAGCGTCGAAAGCTTACATGACATGTTCACACACTTATGAATTCAGGAAAGACACGTCCATCAATAATATGAATAATATCAGAAGAAACGTGCAGTTCAAAGCAATTACCAAAGAATATCTAAACCAATAAGACGGAAATTATTATCGTTGTTCCTTTAAAACATGTAGATTACGATTAAAATATATTTAACCTTTATTTAAAAACTTTCTGTTCGAGCCTTAGTTGTGATTTGTCCGATAACCTGCGAATGTGTCAGAACAGATGAGAACCAATAGCGTGCGACCTCCTGCCGGAGGAAAAAAACACGTTCCGTTGAAAACCCGAAACGAGAAGCGAAAAGGAGGCAGAAATTCGCCGGCGTTGGGGTTACTGTCTCCGAAAAAAATCTTGCCTTAACCCAAAAGTGAATGAGAGGGAAGGTATCTGCCTCCAGCTACTGAGCAAGCAGACTTCGTGTTATCAGCCAGTGTATCGCAGACAAGAAGCCAGATGGTGAGTGTGTATTTTTTTTTTTGTCCGTTGCACCGTGTGTGTGTCTGCAGCCTCCCCTCCCTCCGCCGCGCGCCCCTCTTCTTCTTTTAATTTTTTTGTGAGAAGATGTGAGGTGGTGATGTCTTTCCACCCGGGAACGGTTAGCTGTGCAGAAACTGATTTGTTATGTAAACCACTGCGTGAATTGCTGGGGCAGGAGGAGAGAATCAGCTCTGAAAAATTTCCACAGAATTTAAATGCCCGCCGCCGCAGCCGCCGTGTTCCTCAGAAATGCTAACAGTGTGCCGCTTCTTGTCTGCTCGTTAGCTAGCTCGATGGCTAATTATTATAATCTAACCATAGTATCTAAATATACTATTAGTGCGTTATTACAAATCACTCTTGCTTATTATTAAGTCTACGACTTATTAATTTCCCTTCCTTTTTATCGGCCTACTTATACATGCGTTTAAATCAGCTGAATATTATGTGGCGTGTATTTATGTTTTTGTTTTGCTTGAGCTGCACCAGCCATAGCAGATTGTCATTACTTGCACCTGATATTTCTGTAGCAATTACACCAAACCATGGACGAGCATTCAAGAAACCTGGGAAAGAAAAGCACGCAAAAAGTATAAAGATGCATGTTGTATTCCGCTCACTGGGCATACTTTGCAGCCAGCTGGCTTCATACATGATCATAACATAAATGTTGACTAGCAGCATCCATCCAGGCATTCCTGCATCCCTATGAAATAACTGTGTTCATTGAGGGATAAGCAGTTATCCAGGTCTGAATACAATGGATATACAATGAATATAATGGTCCTCTTTGACTTTACCCTGCAGCATACAAAGTCGCCTTCCAAATGTATAAGTGACTGGGTTTTCAGCTTTATTTGCACTTACTGTAGTGGTTTGTATTGTCAAACCATTATGTGCGGTGTGGTGAAACCACATTTCATCCATCCAAAGCACCACAGCTTTAGAAATCTGTAATTATGGCCCTGGCATATGGCGAGAAGGCTTAAGTAAGTATACCGTCATTCTCTGATTTCCTACTATCATCAGTGTACTGTCTGAGTGTAATTTCAGTTGGAGTAGACTGCACAGATTGACACCCTGTTCTGCTGCCTGAACTACGTCAGTATCCTGCTGGATTTGGAAGCCTGTTGTTGCAGTTTGACTCACTTGTTTGCCCAGACAGTAAATAAATAAAGCAGCTTTCAGCAAACCCCATTTTCCAAAGCTGCAATGAGGACTACTAAAAATTGTATTTAGTTTGTCCATATGCTGTTCTGTCAAACAATTACCATTAACGGCACAAAAACCTGATTTGTTGGGCATGTCAGAAGTGCCATATGTTGGATGGAAGGGGGGGTTGCCTGCTGTCAGATGTGCAGAGGAGTATTAAATGGGTCGCCAGCAGGTCCATGGCATAGAGCTGCAGGAAAAAGTGGCACATAGTTACACTGGGTGCATACCTGTGCCTTTATGTCCCCCTCTATCAATCATTTACTGAAAATAAGAAATATAGCCAGGAGGTATGTGTAAGCAGGCAGGATCAGGCTTGGGAGGATGTTGAAACAATTTCACAGTTGATTTAATGCTTTTAACTGATTATATATATATCGTGTGTGTGTATGTGTGTGTTTTTTATTGTTGCGTGGAAACGTCACTTCTTTGCAAGCCAAATCAGCTGTGTAGAGACGAATCAGTATTTTTCAATCATTGGGCAAATCACTGATTGCCAGTTGAGCACACAAATATACCTGACCTAGTAAAAGGGAAAAAATACACGTCTCTTTCGTTTCCTGTGGGTATGTGCAGTCTTGCAGTCTGTAAACCTGCATAAAGACTCATTCCACGAAGTCTTAGTACGTTACTTTCTCTTTGATTTATTTAATTTTCCTGAGAAGTTTCATGTCATTCTCTTGTAAATCAGATCTCAGACAGATGTGTGGTGCTGGTAATAAAGGTTTGGCTGCTCTACTCGTACAGCAACTGCTCCAGTTGAAGATAAGAAACTTCAACATGATTATAGTCTTTTCTCCATTCTTTTTATACAGTCCAGTCTCCCCAGCCACCCCCACTGCCATTTAAAGCTCTGCGTGTCTCTTCTTTATACCAGTATTTTTCAGTCTGGACTGAAACCATTAACTCACACTACGTTTTGTCTCTGAGGTTGTCAGCACTGGTCCAACGTCTAAAGTCCTCACGGAAAATAGTTTTGAAGTACTCCAGTTCCTCACAGCATCATAAGTCAACAGAGAACGTCTAAGATATCTCATGTCTGTGGGGGTCTGCAGACAATCACCTCACAAATGATTACTTTTGAACTTGAGAAGTAACTACTGAAGGCACTTTATTGAGCAACATTTAATTCCCTGTTCCTTGCCCTCCATTGCCACTGTGATGGAAATTTTGCTGTGATTGCAAAGCAGATATTTGCATGGGGCCATTTTTTTGTAGACGGGATGAGGCATGTTACAGTGAATTCCATTCAAGGAGAAGAAGTTGATTGTGAAATGGTCTCTCTTCTGAAGTCCCCGATAACATCAGATCATGTCTTGAACTTGCATCAGTTTCTGTTCTACCTCCAGCAAGGTTGCTGAAAGCAGTGGCATTTAGCTACATCAAGTCAACACAGACTCCGGGTCTCCAAAACATTTTTTTATAAGCTGGTTTTACTTCTTTCAGTTTTAAAAAGAAACCATAAACATACCACCTGCTACCAGCACCGACAGTAGTGCTACTGGAATTTGGTCTCTTCAGCAAAGGTAGCCCTGCAGTGCAAACTATAAGTTACTATATGTTTCTTGCTTTTAACTGCAAGTGATAAGTCAGTAACACTTTCTCCTTTTGAAATGGCAAACTACTTCTCAGAAATGATACATGCAAATGATATTAAAATGTTGTGTTTTTTTGTACTACTGAAAGACTTTGCCTACTTCTTAAATTAACAGAACAGCAAAACCAAAAAGAAAATTGAGATCAGAAATGGTTGGGATTGACTTGTTATTCATCAAAAAGTTAATGCACAGCATATTTGCCACACATTTTCTGGTTGCAGCTTTCTTGTATGACGATCTTTGAATTTTCACAGTTAAATGCCAAGATAATGAAACAATGAACGATAGACTGAATCAGAAAAGCACTAAAAAGATGTTATCGTCTAGTCTCATTGTTCACCCCTAAAGTTCATGTCGTCCCTCATTAACATAGGTTTCACGAACCTCTTTGTCAGTCTTAGACAGGAAGTGAAAAAACCTATGAGACGTGGACATGTGATAAATGGTCTACACTGTCGAACACAGAAATGCCTCGTCATTTTCTTCTTTTATACAGGAAGTTCAAAAGAAGAAGAGAAGTAGTGGTCAAACAAATACCAAAACTTGGCTCAGACATGATTACTCTGCAGACTGTTGAGGCAAACCTCTATCCGTACTCTGGCGAACGAGACCATGTCATTCTTTTAGCTGCTCCCCAGCCAGTAGCCATGTTCAAATATTTCTGCATCACAGATTTTTTTTTTTTAAATTAACCTTATATCAGATGAGTGTTTTATTTTTTCCTTTCTCTGGCATGTCGTCCACATAGCTTGCTTTGTCTCTGCACGTTAAGCGTTATCGAATCTCTTCAGCAGGTTTTGTAGTTGTTGGATCATTTCCGTAGCTTCCACATCCATATTACGAACAGTTAGATATTTTCTGTAAAATAAATATTCAGGCTCTAGGTTTATGTTGTAAGTACTGGTCTGGAAAATTATTGTTTTTATTCGCGAAACCGTTAGGCTGCTGATAAACAAGCTCATTAACACTGTTGTGTGATGTGTTAATGACGACGAGGTACATTGTTCAGTTTTTTGACTCTGCTTTCCAAATTATTAAACAATGATCTTGTTTCTAAAAATAAGAAAGTGAGCAAGAGAGAGAGAGAGAGAGAGAGACTGGGAACCTTATTTGATAAATGACTTTTGTTACATAGCTTCCCTCCATTCCCTTGTAGGGGCCTGCTGCAGCACTCTGTGTTTTAAGTGATAATCAAGTGTGAGGTGGTGGCATTTGCCTTCTTGTGTTCTGTCCATCAGCACTACAAGAGAAAAAACGTGTGTCAATTTTGAACTTCACTAGTATGTTGAACTTTCACCCCCATAATACTCTTTTAGAGTTTTTGTAGCTAGTTAAAGGTCTGAGATTTACATCAGCAGACAGCTCTTGTATACATTTCAAAGATTTAGAGATCGGGGGCCTTGGTTTGTAGTTTTGGTGCTTGTTTAACGTCAACATCAGTGAAGAATGTATACGCTTTATTGCTTAATACTTCCTATAATTCCTAAATGGCATCTCCACATACTCTCCCTATTACGTCTCCTCTTGATTTTGACAGAATAAGAACAGACCTGAGGGCCATTTGACTCCCTGGTCAAACACATCCATGGCCTCAAAGAAAAGGAGAGTAGGATTTTGGGACTTTGGTATTTTAAGTCAAAGGATTGAAATCATACTTCAACATGGAGATCAGGATGCACAGTTGCTTACTGCTGCTAAAAGCTCTGTAGGAAAGATACTGTAGCTATGAATATAAATAGGGAAAATGGCTAGCATGCCTCTGCCATACTGTAACAAATATTACCCTGTAGCACCAGTACTAGCAAGCGATGGTGCTACGGGGTTGATGTGTAGCTTCTTATTTACTATACAAATGTAATAGAGGTATTTAACCTTCAATCTAAGTCAACAAAAGTGAACAAAACCTCCTAGGTGGTTGCAGCATGAATACAAATGCACACAAGCATACGTGCATGTGAGATTAAAGCAATGTGAGGGCTGAATGTGAGGAATGATGCTGTGAGCTAAGAGTAGAAGCTCTTTTCCAAGAAGATTTGAAAACTTGAGTGAAAGTGCTCTTTGTTTGGTAAGATAACCACGCTCCAGCTGGCTCTCGCTCCTCATACACTGGTATGCTGAACTGCCCCACAGTTAAAACAGTGTTACTCATTGCAGGCCTAATTAATCACTCCACAAAACTTTATTTATGTTTAGATCAATTTTTATCTTTAAAATTTTTATTGCGATTTATTCATAAAGTACAAAGTTGCCGTTTACAGTCAATTATTAGTAAGGAAGTTGGTTAGGTACATAGTGATTATACTCCTTGTTGGGACTATGTAAGACAGAGGAAGCCAGATGTGTCAAAACAACTTCCTGCCACATTCAAGCTGTTTGATGGCAACTGAGACCCATATAAGGTAAAACAAGACAAGATGGCACAAGCTAATCTCAAGTCTTCCTGCATGTTTGTGTACGTGTTTTTGGAATGACTACCCAGGCCTAACATAGAAACGAATGCTGCTGGGTTATTTTTACCAAAGAGAAAACAAACATTAGCTAGTCTTTGCTTTTGCTTTGATCACTTTACCATTTTTACATTTATTTCATGATTTCATTTGCACAACTTCCTTATCAGCCTTTACAGCCTTCTACTGATGTAAATATTCCCTGCCAAAAACTTAAAATATTACAAAATCACATTTGAGTTTCTGTAGTGTTCAGTCATTTGAGAAGATCAGATGCATGCTAGTTTCTCAGTTGTATTGCAGCAACAGGAAGTGGTCTATCATGCGTTCTGCTAGATAACCAAAAAAGTGTGAGCTGTCTGCTAGCGAGCAGCAGCAGCATAATGACTGAGTTCAAGATGAATGGGGGATAACGGGGAGACGTCCAACTGTTGGGATGTGATTACATCTACAGGAAGCTGCATGGCCCCACTGTTAATGAACCAATCGTTTCAAAGTATGTCATCCGGTTGTCATAAGTACAGACAACACCCTTGCTGTTCTCCCTTTGAGGGTGCATTAAAGGCAGCCCCGTTCAAAAACAATATGCTAATTAATACAGCAACAGTTTACACTGTTAATCAAGTAGAACCTCTCTAATCTTTAAACTAACATGTGATGTACAATCCAGGAAGTGTGATTTAATAATCCATACATTGTGAAGCCACATTTGTCAATAAAGTTTTGCAAAACTTTATCATTTATGATTGTAGCAAGGAATACTTGCTATTAGCTTAGCTGTGGCCTTGTTGGACTTCAATGAGCAGGAGTTCTGTAACGACATGAATTGTGTGTTTAATGCAGACCAAACATTAGCCTGACTTTGACAGTAATATAAATCAGAAAATAAATAATAATGTTTTACATATAACACATAGTGCCAGTATAAGTTATATCTAGCTAAACTGGATTTTATGGGGCAATGGGACCAGTTGCTGTGATCTGTAAGACTTAATTTGCTCTACTGTTCAAAACAAACTTCTGACTACCAAGAAAGCACCTGGATCACCCACTCCTATACATAGTACAGGGATCTAGTTTTTCAGGCATGTCAAGCACATTGCAATGCTATTTATCACTGGTTTGTTGCTTAACTTCTGCTCTTGACTCGTGTCAGCAGTTCAAGAGCGATTCATGCTCTAATGTATCTTAACTGTTTGTTTGTTATTTTGTTTTCAAAGCTGTAATAAACCTGCAAAAAAACAGCAATCAGCATTTGTCTCTGATGCTAAAGAGCTTTGAAGTTTATAGCAGTCTCTGAACCCCCATAACCTCACCCCAAGGTCCAGCTCCAGCCAGATTGCCTTATATAACAGGGTTTTAGCAAAGTCTGCAGTGGACTTTCCCCTACCTCAACAGAGACTTCCCTTCTTCTGCACTCTAAGTTTTCTTGAAAAGCTTGTTTTGAATGTTTTTCTGTTTATTATCTGCTACATCTACCTGTTAGTTCTGCTTAAAGATGTGATCATGTTCATTGCTTCAGGAAACCTACTGCAGTACTACTGTCACTTCCTCCAGCAAGTTTTTCATCTTTCTTAACCTTCTTCATGTCTAAGAAGTGTCTCTTTTGCTTATAAAACTGAACGAAACTGCAGTTACGTGACAAAAACGTTCAACACCCGTAGTGTGCAGAAAACTGTGCTGACTTGTGTTGTATGGCAGCCAGAGAATTAAAGAGTAAATTTATGAATGTGCATGATTGTAGGGTTGAGTCAAACAAAGTGGTTCATTACATGAACTGATTACAGATTGCAAAGTTGAGTCATTTTTAAGATAAAGACTGGCAACAGAACATCAGTTTTATTACTTAAGTGAGAACTCTTCTACCTTTTGTAATAGAGTCCATGCCGTTATCCCTTAAGATTTCTTAACTGAACGACTGAGTCTGAGTTGTTCTGCTATGTTGAGAGCTGATCCATGCAGAGCAACGCACAGCTCAAGTCACATGACTAAACAGAAGGCACCTGATCCTCTCCCAGGGGTGTAAAGAGACAGATGGAGTGAATAGAAAGAGATCAGATTGACACTATTAAAACACGGGCAAAGGTAAAAAGAGGACAGTGAAAATACCCTTTAGTGTGATTTTTGTGACGCCTGTAATTTTATCGGACTGTGTTACCTAATATTTCTAATGCGTATATAGCACACACACACACACACACACGTTATGCATTATACATATTTGAATCATTTATTTAATTGTTAAATGTATTTTTGTGTGCTCACGCAGGACACCGGAAACACCACGGAAGAAAAATCCGTTCAACGATCCAAGGTAAATATATATGTATTTGTCTTATCCCAAGTTCACAGCTCTGTGTTCACCTGCATGTGATACTTATGCCCAACTTCACTTTCATCAGCATTTGATCTTAGGAGAGAGCATTTAGTGTCTAGCGTTCATCTTGCTAAAGCTAAAAGGCTGTATTGGGAACATTATGTGCATGCCTGGTAGTAAAGCAGTATATTTGTGTGCTCAGTCCTTCAGCTTCAACACCCAGAAGGAAGTGTGTACATCATGTTTGAAGACAGTCTACCCAATGGAGAAACTGGTTGCAAATAACCTCGTCTTCCATTCAGCATGTTTCTGCTGCAGGCACTGCAATGCCAAACTCAGGTGACTATATATAGTATACTGTTTTGTTTTTTTTTGTTTGTTTTTTTTGTTTTCTCCTGACCACTGTGATCGGCATGTAACTCTTTGATTCCTCCATTTCTGGCAGCCTTGGCACTTTTGCATCTCTTCAAGGCGAATTTTACTGCAAACCCCACTTCAAACAACTGTTCAAGAGCAAAGGAAACTATGACGAGGGTTTTGGACGCGAGCAGCACAAACAGCTCTGGGCCGCCAAGGAGACAAATACGCCATAATCATGGCTGCCTTTGTCCTGTCGCAGACCTGCCTCTTCTTTTCCCTCCTCCTAACACCTCCAATGCATCACGATGAACACATGCCTCATAAGCTGGGGCACTGTTAAATCACCCACGCACTCACTCGCTTTTTAAATGCCATCAAAACAAATACATGCATAGACATCTAGAAAATTACTGGGCAGTCATGATATATACCACTTACCGTAATTTTGAGTATAATTTGATGATAACTGTTAATTTCCTAATTGTATTTTCCAATTTCCTGTTTGAAATTGGTAGTTGATTGTGACCAAAAGCCTTCTCTGGTGTGGAGAGTGGAATAGTGAAGAGGTTTTATTTTCTCTCTCTTTTTATTTAGTTTTAATTAATTGCACCCTTTTATTTTTAGGAATAAGTAAACTGTATGCTCAGGCAAACATATCTAAGGGGTTAAAGAGCATCACGTTTTGCATTAGGGCATACACTCAGGTCAGTTTTAACCCATGGGTTTAAAAGAAGACTTATCAGATTTTATTACTCATTGTAAAAACACACACATCAAATTTAAAAAAAAAGCGATCCTCTGTATTATGACAATGCTGTCAGACAGGTTTGTCAGGTTTCATATATTTGAGGAACAAACAGGGTACAATGTACTGTAAAATAACCGTGCACGTTAGCAACAACTCACCTCTTGTGTTTATATTTTTGCTTTCGTTAGTCTTATTATTGCTCACTTCATCACACGGTTCTTCGTTATTTCAATGAGTCTTGCATGTTGGTATGACTGGGTCCTGATAGCCTTATCTTATGACTGTATTGATCTTTTGTGGTGTGAGTGTTACTTTCATTTGTTTCTCTTACATAGCGATGATCTTTTTTAACATTTTTAGACCCACTTGAGTTTAGATTTGATTGATGTCATGGCATAAGTTGATCTCTGAGCTTTTTATGGTTAAGATTTTAATGAATTTTTCAGATTGTGCTTTGTATACTGTCTGTATACTAGCTGTAGTTTGTGATTAGTAAACATTCCCCACTGTGCTGTACCCTTGTCTTGCACATATATCTACACACGATCACCAGACAAAAGGTTAATTATGGCAGGGAAGCTGAGCTTTAGTATGTAAACATCCCTCCATCTGTCCTATGAAACATTTTAAGAGGAAGTGTAAACACCTGGATAAATTGATTATTGCATGTATGCTATAAATGAGGATGTTGATGGACAGAGCTTAGGTCTCACAGTGTGTTGCTTCATAATTTCATGCTTGTCAGCTTGTTGTTGTCTTGTGATGAAGTTTTAAAAGCTGTATTATAGCGACATAAACATCCAGTCACTCTGTCTTGAACCCGTGAGTCCTTTTTCAGTTAATGCCTTCTGGTTCTCCTGTCTTATTTGCTAAATGCAACTGGACCTATTTCTTAATATAAATGTTACAATAGATGGATGGATAGTTTGTCACATATATGGGCACCCTGATGTGTGGCTGCATGCAAAAGCCAGTGCAGAGCACCCCCTGCTGGGGAAAGTGTGACAATAGCGTCTCACGTGAGAGGATAAAACGATAACTTGCCCATGATTTGAGTATAGCCTTTTATTTTCAAGTTTTTGAGTTGGATCAGCCAACAGCTTCTTTTAATCTTATTTAGTTTTAACATGTAAGAACAATTAATTCAATGTAGATTTCCATGGTTTTATTTCATTGTGTACAAAGGATAACTCCAAAGCCATTAAATCATCACATTTTAGAAAATGTCTGAGTACCGCTGACACTTGAATGGCACAAAGTACTTTCTGTGACTGAAGGTTTACTGTTAATTTGAGCTCGCTGTGCAGAATAGGAAGCAAAACAGATGGGTTTTTTTTTTTAAAGAGAAGCCTTAGAAAACAAAGAGCTGACCTTATTGCTTTTTCAAAACACCTTTGAGTGCACAGATCTTTACAACGATCTTGTGATCATGCCTTTTTAAAAACAGATCTGGTTATTGTAGAGTCCAACTCTTTAACATAGGATTACTTCACTCAACCAGCAACCATTTTCCCCCACCTAACCATCTTTATTCACATGTACAAAAGTTCTAATTCTACTGTGTGTGAACATGTATGTTTTCTTTATGTCATTTTAAAACGGCCCTCTGGATCCCAGAGAATGCTTTAAAAATCAAGAGAATTGTATCTTAAAATGCTGTGTTTGTCACTCTCTGTTAGCAGTTCGCCAAGGTACAACTGCAAAATCTGTGAATTGCAATGTCCAAGTCTAATAGAGCAGACAAGGTACACTTTACACTGGTGCCACAAGGCTCAGGTGAATGATTGCAGTGTGACGTTTTATTGTTAAATCTGTGAATCATTTCATTTCTGTGCTACATGTGGAATTCCTTTTTTATTGCCGTTGTCATCAAGACATTTTAAATGTATGCATCTTTGAAAGTGTGTTCTATATTACAGACATGACCTGTGGATTGAGGTGGCCTTACAGCAAAAGGATGCTTGGACTGTATGCAGTCTTTCTCCTCTCTTCCTCCTCCTCTCTCTTGCTTAGTTGTAGTACGGTACATTTTAAAATGTGAGCGCCCTCTTTCTACGCCAATATACACAATCATTTGTGCATATTTTTGTTTTTATTTTTTTTACATGCTTTTGGAAAAAAATAAATAAATGAAATGCTGGTGTTGATTTAACACACTGAGTTTTACATTGTCTTTATTTGCATTTTATTTGTGGTGAAATACTTAGATCTAATAAAGTTTAGCTGTAATGGAAGTAATCCAAAAGGTAATTGGTTACATTTAAGTACAACGTTGAAGTACTTGATACACTATACCTATATTCCAATACACGGCAGTGAAAAATACTGCCAATCTTACTCTGCAATATTTATATTTATATTACAGCTTTTTTGTTATATTTTGTTTTTGAATGTGGTTTAGTTAGTTACTGTTCTTACTGGAGTAACTTTGACAACAAAAGATAATATGGAATGAACAAAGTATTCTGATTATGAATATAGAACTGTCAAGGCTGCAAAGTCAGTGCGTTAAAGGAACGGACCCAAAATCAGAGACAGGAGAAAACAAACTAAGTTTAACAAAAAGCGAGCCGTTTATTTGGCTGAAAAACATGAATACAAAATCCAAAGCAAAACTAACAGTAGCAAAAACAAAACTGGAAACAGGGGTGTC